TTTTGGCTGACATTTACAGAAACACAGGAGAATGTGACCTGGTGTGGAATATTTGGAGGATGACAATTAATTCTGGGTGGCTGATGCATGGGAGAATAGACATGAGCCATAGCTGGAATGCTAGCTTGGAGCTTGCTAGAAGGGCCTTTATTTATCACAGGGAGCATACTTACCTTTATCCTGTCAGCCCTGGAGAACCATGGAAAGGTTTTAAGCAGCAAGTTATGGGATTAAACTTCATTTGGGAGATTACTTTGTTAATATGGCATGAAAATGGGATTAGAGGTAGAAGATACGAGAGAATAAATAGCTCCACTTTATACCTAGTTCTTCAGCTGGGAAAGCAGGCATCATCCTTAACCCCTCAGTCCTTCGTTCCCCACATCAGTTAGTCTACTACTTTCTAAATTTATCTTGTGCCCACTTTTTCTTCATTTTTAGTCTAAACATCTGACCTAAAGCCACCGTCATTTCAGCGCTGAAGCACTACATTAACCCCTTCCACTGTCTTGCCCTACTTACTGCTCTCCCATCCCTGTTACCCATAGAGAGCAAACCGATCTTCTTAAAATTAAAAATTGAATTACATCGATCTTTTGTTTAACCCTTCCGTAGCTGCCTGCGAGGCCCTGTAGGCACTAATGTTAGCCAGTCTACCAGCCCATCACTCCACACTCTTCCCTAAAATTGTTCCCTCCAGCTCCACTGGTCTCAGGCCCCAACCTCTTCTCTGCTTCCAGGCCTTTGCACATACTGTTCACTCTGCCTAGAGCGCTTGCTGCCCTTCACACAGTCAGTCACAATTAAGCGTCGCTTCCTCCAGGAAGCCTGTTTCCATTCTTCAAAGTTTAGATTGAAATAACATTCTGTATTAACTATTGCAGACCTTGGGGCGCCTGGGTGGCTCAGTCGTTAAGCGTCTGCCTTTGGCTCAGGTCATGATCCCAGGGTGCTGGGATCGAGCCCCGCATCGGGCTCCCTGCTCGGCGGGAAGCCCGCTTCTCCCTCTGCCCACTCCCCCTGCTTGTGTTCCCTCTCCCGCTATGTCTCTCTCTGTCAAATAAATAAATAAAATCTTTAAAAAAAAAAAACTATTGCAGATCTTATCATAGTTGTGCTCAAGTAATGGTATGTTTAATTGTTTGCCTGAAAGCTCCATGAGGCAGAGAGCGCTGCTCTCATGCACCATTGATTTTCCCTAGAACAGAGCCTAGCATGTGTCAGGTCAATGCTGAATGAACCGATGAGGTTGTTCCCCTCATTCAGATGGGACAGGATGGATGCTTGGGTAAGCAATGGAGTTAGAATCATGGTAAGTTAAGGGAGGAGAAGGATAAGTAGAAGATGAATCTGATGGGTTTCGTTATGGGTACAAGATTAGAGGTATCATTAGCAGAGTTAGGGAATACAAGGAGAGGAAACAAGCAGCATTGGGGAGAAAAATGGTAGGAGTTGAAGTGTAGGCAGACTGACTCCGAGATTTCTTTGGAACAGGGAGAATAATCAGTAGAAAAGTGTCACTCGGCAGTTGGATGTGCCAGTCTAAAGCTCAAGAAAGACATCTGAACCAAAGAAACACATATGTGTTGCCAATACACAACTGGGTAGAGGGTGTATATCAAGGCTTGACTGCAACAAGCAAGTAAGAGTTGAGAGCAGAAGCCAAACTGGTGGAATTCTTACTGTGGCTCCAACATGTGCTAACTTCCTTCTTCCTACTATTTCCCCTTCACTGTCATTAATCTGGGCACCACCTAGCTGCATAGCAGTGACTAACCTCCCTCTCACAGTCTCACCTCTGGGCTTTGCCTTTTCTTCCTGACACTGTCACCCCTCCTCTTACGAGACACTGCCCTGGCCTCTTTGGCTATAGCAGGAGGTTGGACAGGGTAGCAGGGCCAGAAACATCTGCTCTTTGTGGGGTGCGGATCAGACAAAATGGGCAAAGTGGTTCCCAGCTGACTAGTCTCCATGGTCAGTGTGGAAGTGGGTGGCTGCAGGTGCTTGGTTGCATCCCTTAATTTATTTTTCTGCTGTTTCTAGTCTTGTGATATTGGAGGAGGGAGTGCTGTGGAGGGGCTGTCCCTACCTTTGCTTGAGTTGTACCATTTTTTTGTGATTTTTAAAAATTTTATTATTTTATATTTTTGATTTATGGTGACTCCACCCCTATTCATCACTGCCACTCCCAGGCCAGACTCAGTGGCAAATCCTGCTCTTGGGCCCTAGGAAAGGGCCAGGTCAGCCTGAGCCCTCCTGCCCCCTGTAACAGCCTGGACAGATAAGATAAGAGGAATGGTTTAAACATGTGGACATTTTAGAACTGAAAGTGACATTGAAGATCACCTATTTCACATCCTTCCTCTTCACAGATGAGAGCACCAAGGCCTTCAAATAAGAGGCTTCTCTGAGGTGACCGAGCTTGGGGGTATCTGCAGGACTAGATTCTAGAATCCTGACTCAGTCGCCTTTGCTTTGACTTCCTGCATATCCTCTTGGCTACTTCCAATTATTCAAAATAATTGCCCTCATGCTAAGTTAATAGTCTAAGTTCTCATTAAAATACTTAGGCAACACTTTCCAATTTAGGGAATCCTCGCTTGGTGGATGGTTTAGCAGTCAATTCAACCTTCACCAGCCCCATTTTCATAAAATGTGTCCACCTTATCCCACTGGTGATCTCCTAAAGGCCAAACCTAATGCACTCATCTCAGGCATTACTCACTGGACTGTCTCCATAGGGCTTTATGCTCTGACTTCTCCCTCCTCCTTGAGACCACTTTGTTTGGGGTCCTAGAAAGCTATTCTCTCTCAGGCCTCCACAAGGGACTTGGATAGTTCCTTCTTGGTCCTTGCTCCTTGGTCCCTGTGTCCTTTGCAGAATCATCCATGCCCTGCTTTTTCCTTTGTTAAATGCTTTCCTTAGATAATTTCTTTTTTTAAAAAAGATTTTATTTATTTATTTGAGAGAGAGAGAATGAGAGAGAGAGAGCACATGAGAGGGAAGAGGGTCAGAGGGAGAAGCAGACTCCCCGCCGAGCAGGGAGCCCGATGTGGGACTCGATCCCGGGACTCCAGGATCATGACCCGAGCCGAAGGCAGTCGCTTAACCAACTGAGCCACCCAGGCGCCCTCTTTAGATAATTTCTATGTATTAATAATAGTAATAATAGTGAACCCTTATTAAAAGTCTTACATGCATGGACTCATTTAATCTTCCCCAGTAATCTTACGAGGTAGAGATTAGTAGTCTTCTTTACCATATGGGAAAACAGGCAACAGAGAGGTGAATTATTATTATTATTGTTATTATTAATTATTAATTTTCAGATTCTAAACATTCTTTTTACTACATGGTGGTACCAGAGGAAAACCAAGTATAGAAGTGAACAAATGGAGGAGGAAGGGGCTAGGGGGAGTCATCACCACCCCTCCCTCTTCAGGAGCCAAGTGTGCCCTTCTGGCCCCTTCAACCTGTCCAGGCTGTTACAGGGGGCAGGAGGGCTCAGGCTGGCCTGGCCCTTTCCTAGGAACCAAGAGCAGGATTTGCCACTGAGTCTGGCCTGGGAGTGGCGGTGATGAATAGAGGTGGAGTCACCATAAATCAAAAATATAAAATAATAAAATGTTTAAAAATCACAAAAAAATGGTACAACTCAAGCAAAGGTAGGGACAGCCCCTCCACAGCACTCCCTCCTCCAATATCACGAGAACGGAAACAGCAGAAAAATAAATTAAGGGATGCCGCAGTTACCACCAGCCAAGCACCTGCAGCCACCCACTTCCACACTGACCATGGAGACTGGCCAACTGGGAACCACTTTGCCCATTTTGTCTGATCCCCACCCCACAAAGAGAAGATGCTTTCGGCCCTGCTATCCCAGATAAAGAAAATATTATTTCAAGATTGTAGTTTCTCAAATTGTATTCTTCCCCACTAATAATTATAATGTATCCTAATGAGCTCATAAATTCTGAAGTAGAATCAGTATCTGTAGATTACGATTATCATGGATTAAATAGTATACTGTCTCTCCTTGGAAGTCACACTCTTGTATGTATGTATATATATATATATATACATAATACATACTAATATATATATATATATTAGGTACTTATTTACTTATTAAAAGTATTTATATATTCAAATATTGATTCATTTATTTATTCAATTTTGAACAACTTCTGTGCGCCAAACCATTAGGTGGGAGATACTGAGATGAGAAGATAACAAGATGCCAGGCAACTAGGGAACACAAATATGTGAGCATATACGTGGCAGTGCTGTGTGAAAGGCACAAGAGTAGGTGTGTCTAGAGAAAGGACTGGCATGTTCTTTCTAGGAGCAAGGTGTAAGGTTTAATGCAAAACATGGTATGGACGGACTTCACAAGTCCTTTGACCTCCTATTAAAATATTTCTGGTATACCTCTGTTATTCTTGGAATTCTCGATAACTTTCTCATCTCAGTAATTAAATTGAGTTTTTGAAAATACAAAGACCAAAAGATCAAATCAGTTCATTTTTATATGATGTCATGTGATTGACATCATTGCTCTTGTATGAAGAATAAAAAGTTACATATTCTTGCCCTTTGTGTTTATTTCCTCTTAAAAGAGTTAATAATTCAAATATGGTTTTCAGTTTATTGGAAATCATTTTATTTCACAGTATTTCAAAACATTATGAATATTGAAAAGATTTTTTCATGTATATGCTTGAATGTAATGTTCAATTTATAAGCAAATTCATTGACTTTTTTAAAAAGTCTCCATAGTAAGCACTTTCAAAAGAAAGAACATTTTTGTGGAGATTTCATAGATAATGAAATGTGGTGGTTTTTTGGTTTATGAAGACATTGCTAACATCTCAATAAACTATATACTTTAAAGAAAATGAAAGAGCTCCGCAGATAGATGCATTTGAGGACTATTTATTGCCAATATTTAGAAAAACAAACACTGCTGGCATTCAAATCCCTCTGTTTTAAATTGCAGCACCTTATGAAATATGCCCAGAGGATTATCTGATGTCGATGGTGTGGAAAAGGACCCCGGCAGGCGACTTGGCATTCAATCAGTGCCCGCTGAATGCCACAGGTAAAGTATGATGACCCACCCAACGAAATTATGATGGCCATCCACGAACGGCATGCTATGTTTGCTTCTGAAGTCATGCTTTTATCCTATATCCATAAATAAATCTCTCCCATAAGCAATTAATAAAGCAATTTTAGTGAAGTGCTTCATAGATGGAGCCAATGAAGAGACCTAGAAATTCCTGCTAATGCAATGGTTTCTCAGTGTGATTCACATGCACTATAAAAATTATCAACGTAATATTTTCATATGCATGTTTTTTAAGGCAGGAAAATGTACAAACCCAATTCTTGAGACTGCCTCCCAGTTATGTGATGCCTTCTAGCATCTCTGTTATAAAGCTTCTCTCTGTTCTTTGTGACGCACAGGCACCACGAGCAGACGCTGCTCTCTCGGTCTTCATGGAGTGGCCTTCTGGGAACAGCCGAGCTTTGCAAGATGCATATCAAATGAGTACAGACACTTGCAGCATTCAGTAGGTGCAAAGCCAGCTTTAGTACTTGCCCTGTTTATTTTTTCCTAATGATCACTGTGTGAGAATTTAACCTTCTGCTTTATAACCAAATCAGCCAAAATCTTTGAGAAAATGCCTGAAGGAAAAAGTGATGTGACAGAAAGCTAATTTTTATAAGTCGGTGCTAAACTGCTCCATTCCTAGGGTTTGGGTTTTTATGGTTTCTGCTATTAAAATGAAAGAATTCCTTGTCTAATGGGGACAAGGCCTGAGCAAAATTTGTTACTCAGTTTTATGTATAGGCGTTACACTATATATCATGACTAGCACAAATCTGCATTAAATATATATAAGACTTACTTCAAAATACTGTACATTTTTAAATTATATTCTTTAACATTTTAGTACTTCAGAAATGATAAGCTATGTCACATAGGTATCAAATTTCTCAGTGCATTTTGACATTAAGACATTGAAAAAATGATAGTGTTATTGCACCAGAGAAAATTAATTACTTGCAAAAGATTAAGTGGGCCAAATTTTTCAAAAATAACCCCTCTGTTCCCACACGTCATTGAATTATTCACAAAATATGATGTATGAATATTTTGAGCACAGATAAATTTTGCTTGGTATTTTACAAGTGCAAGCCATTGTCATTATTGGAGACTTGTCATTTCATCCTGACAGTCTGGAGGAACTCCATCAATGAATAAACATTGAGTAAACATTGTGGGGTTTATAACAAATATATTCATGAGCCAGCTAGAAAGTTGAACATTGACAGGGATGATGTTTAGTTAAAAAACTTTAACTTTTGTTGTGTTTATGTTTTCTTTTCATTTTTTACTGTCACTCACAAATACGTATAATTCTTAAAAAAAAAAGAAAAAAGAAAAAACCTAAAGATTCTTGCTTGTGGATGGAGATTTAGCTCATATAATAATAACCCATATTGATGAAGTATATTTGATTATCAAAAAAACAAAAAAAATCATATTAAGAAAATCTGAAAACCAAATGCTAATACGTTTACTTACCAAATCAGTAATAGTAATTGACCAGATGATTATTTGACTACTTAGAACCTTATTCCTGTTATTAATATATATATATATGCCCAGATACATAGATATAATGTGTGTCACACAGAAATACTCACACACGTCAATATATGCTGGTTACCCACAAATACTACATTTAATAACATGTATTTATGTGTATATTGGCAATTGATGATATTTGGCTTCATTGAGCCTTATTTCTGTCAAAATTAAAATACATTTATATATGTACACAGAATATAATATATAGCTTTGTTTCATAATATAAAATATAAGACTATGAAATGCAAATTTCTTTTATTAATAACTGTCAATATTCAGACCAGTATATTTCAGAATTAAGATTAACCAAAAATTTCATAATGAATTTAATTTTAATGAATTTTGTTTTTCCCTGATTGTAGACCTTCGACTTTGTTTACTTAATTTTAATAGTATCCATATTCGATTCTTGTTAATCCACAGTAATGAATGGGAATAATTGCATCTATTAAGTAAATCATAAGTCAATCTTTATGAATTTATTAATACATAATATCACTTCTTTGCAGAAATTTTTTACTATCTAAATTCAGTGTTTTATATAGTAATACTTAAATGAGTTTGCATTCTGTGAGTGCAGGTCATCTGATAATGGACAGAAACAGAAACACTCTGTGAAATAGAAGAATTGATCTCAAATTGTGAATTCCATAGAAATCATTCAATCAATAATTTGACAGCCAATGTGTATATGCCTTTGTTGACTGGCATACATAAATCAGATGCATGATATTGTAGAAAAAAAAGCAGTCTCGGTGTATTCAGCTCCTACAAAGTACTAGACACTCACCTGGGCTCTTTGACAAACCAACTCCAATGCTTACAAGAAGCAAGGTGGATATCCCTGCATTGGTTTGCATACAAAGAATCTGAAAATCTACAGAGGAGCAATCCAGTTTTGTGAGGCAAAGAATGGAAGTTGTGTCCAGGTACAATTGCTCCAAAGCTTAACGTCTTTTCTCGAGGCCATGCAACCTCCTGAACTTTTGATTTGAAATCATCTGCCCTAGATCCTGGTAATGAGGGCATATTCAGGTGGTGTGTTTTTCAGAAAAGTCATTGATCTCAAGTCTTGGTTTATTTGAAGTGGGTAGCATCATCTTAACGTCTCTGGAGATTCTAGGGAACAGCAGATGACATACTATATATGTGAAATGCTTACAAATTATAAAAGAACTTTGTAACCATAAAGTATTAATATCTACACGTACAGAAAATACAAGTTAAGATATTATCTCAAAAAGTAAAATTTTAGAACTCAACATATGATTAATATGAACTGTAAATGTGGAAAAATATAAATAAATGCAGATGGAGGAGTAGATAGGTAGATAGATAAGTGGATAGATGGATGTATATATAAGATTGATACTATATATATTTTCACACGTGAATTTTATTTATATACACACATACAGAAACATACACACACTTACACATGCACACATACACACAATCTAGTACTTGCCTACGGATCATGCCTCCTTTACATATTCAGGGAAGTATAGGGCCAATCTATGCCTTAAATAATGCTTACCTAATACATCTACACTTAGTCATGTGTAGTCTAACAAGTCCATTGGAGATGGAAGTGAAACCAACTTCCCTTCATACTCTTACTCCTGTCGCTTCTCATGCTTTGTCTGAATAGCAAAGCTAGATAGTGCTTGCGATAAAGAACAGTTCTGATACCCACAAATTCTAAAATTACTTTGCAGACTCTTCATCTTCTCCTCTAGTAAAATTTACTATTTCACAATTTAATTGTTCTGTTTACTTTGAAGGATTTCATTTTTTGCCCCCTCTATAATCATAAAGCTCATTAAATATTAATTTTTACCTACTGCAGAGAATTATTTTAAATAGGTAGATCTGTGTTTTCCAACTCTTTTACATGTACATATACACATGTATAATATATGTACATATACACATAGATTACACTATTTTAAAAACCCATTTTACAAAATTATACTCATAAACTAAGTTTGAAATGACATTTATCATCAGTTAAAACATTAGTTGAGTATGTTCTGTGAACTTTCATAATTATAACCCAATTGAGGTAGACAGAATGGGGTGGTTAATCGGTTTAATACATAAAATCACTAACCCATTACACTGCACCTTTAGTTTGAATTCTTTAAGGACGGAAACCATGTTGAGTTTTTTTTTTAATCTTTATTTATCTAGTGACTAACACACTGCTAAGCATATACTAAATATTCCATAGATGCTTATAAAGAATGACTCTGCCACTTTTCTAATCAGTAGGAGCATACTGGCAGCTGGAGGGTTCTCAGGTGATACACCAGACAGTGTTCATGAATTTTAACCATGTGAAATTAATAAGTATAATCCCTCATGTGCAATTTTCCTAGCCCAAAAATATCTAGAAATGGGGAGTGATTGATGACATTATTTTATGAAATTATTTGGCCATTGCAGAGGAATTTCAATAAGATAATAATCATGAAGTTGTTTGAAACCTTATAAGATATAAAATTAAACATGATCCAGCTGTTATTCATAAAAAAGATAAGTCACAAATGACTGCACACAATTTTAAAACATTGAGGGTGGAAGAATAAAGTGTAGTAAGAGTCTTGAAAATTTCATATTTTCTCATATGTTAATATTCCTTTTCAAATTCTGGGATATTTTTCTGAATTTTATACCAAATAAAGTAGAAATAATTTTAGAACCCATTGAGAACCAGGCACAGGAATCAGACAAATTGAAAAAACTATTTCTTGTTACTTATAAAGCTCTTTGAAGAAGAAGGATGAAATTTGTGGGCAAAGTGGGGCAGTCTTTCCTTGGATTAAATAAACAGATCCCCCTGTGTCTGGTATACCTGGGCCACCACAGACAGCCTCTTCCTACCTCCATCTCTCCTCTCTCTCTCTCTCTGATTCTCTCCCTCCCACTCTTTTACACATATATAAATACATGCTTATACACACACACACACACACACACACACACACACACACACACACACCTACGCTTGAAATGACAGATTGCATAGAACTAGCAGGATATATACTCTCTGCATGGAGAGGGTTCTAAAGCAAAAGTTGAACAAGCGTATCAATGCCTTTTCCTAAATTCATAAGGCATAGGTCATTCCTCCTTTCCGGGAGAGGAGTGAATGATGGGGGATTGAGAAAGGTCAAAGATATTGCTCTAGTACAAGTCCTTCCCTGTGAAGTCATTGTCCCTTAAAACCTCTGTTTCTGTTTTTCAAACCTTCATTTAACAAACAAATAAATATGGAAGTAGGAGCAGTAGTCTATCTGGTCATCAAAAGGTTGACTTTGTTGGAAGGGATGTCAAAGAGCTTGAATCCTAGTTTGATGACTTTATTTCTATTTTCCTCTACTTCTATGGGTGGTTTGTTAGGATAGAGAGATAAAGATAAAGATAAAGGTATCTTCCTTTAGCGGAGGCTTGAGGAAAGAGGGAGAGACACAGAAGGAAAGAGACCCAGAGGGACAAAGACAAAGAGAGACAGAGAATAGATATGCTTTATTTTTTTCTACATATTCCCTACCTTCCAGGTGAATTTTGTTCCATTGCAACAAAACTATTCCCATCTTACAGTTTTTGGCCAATACCTCATTGCATAAATACTCAGCACACTGCCCAAAAGAGGAGAGAATACTTTTTTTCTTTTTTATTAATTTTATTTTATTTTAATCCAGCATAGTTAACATACAGTGTCATATTAGTTTTAAAAGTACAATACAGTGATTCCAGGAAGATAATACATTTTATTACTGCAGCTTATTTAGAGGAAAGAAAGACAGTAGCCACCATAGTTTTTGCTTACAAGAGATATTTATTGAGCCAAAAAATATGCAAATCTTGTTTTTTTAATGAGTAGTTAAGAAACAAAAAACCCAATACATG